AATAAAGTCAGCCGACGAGCTACGGATGATGGACAGAATAATCGTACGGATCGCTATTGATAATCGCCCCGCAGATGACGATGACAGTGGTATATACCAGCGCTCTAAGTGGGACGTCGCTGCCGGTGTAGCATCAGACGGTGTCCTTAAAAAAACTCAGAAGTCAGACCGCATCTGAAAATCGCTGGGCACAAAGATGTCCCAATCATAGCCTCTCAACGCAGTTGACAGCATGATTTACTTGACATTAGCACACAACACCGACCAACCATCATCTCACCGGCGACCGAACGACTCCACTGCCGTGGCATGATCTGGCTTCAGCATGCCTTACGCAACGAGCGCCTTCGTTTATTCCATGCCTATGACTATCCGGCCAGGACCACGCAGATACAGCTGTTCGAAGAGAGATGTGAACAGCGTCTCTTAATCGAGATTGCATCAAGTCTGACCTTGGTGCCAGAGTGCGCACACTTCCGCGATGTTTGCGTGGTCGTGCCAGATACAGCTGCACGACGGTCATAGTAAAATGAGGAGATGGAGTATTGTTTGATATGCACACTTGAAAGGAGTTAGAGGGGGACAGAGAACGGGATATCAATATCCGGACAGCCCTTCCCAGGATGTTGAGGAGGCCGAGACGTCTGAGGACCTTCCCAAGTGGTCGTCGGCTTGAACAGCTTTGTGTATCCGCCCAGGCAGCGTGGAGACACTCACGAAGCGACCGAGAATGGTCGTTCGACCAATGGAACGGATGGCGATCCGCTATCAGAAAGCGTCTCACGGCTTCCCTCGAGAGGTAAAATGGCAGGCCGCGCGAGAGCACGATAGATATTTCCAGAGAAGTTGAGCGGTACACTATCAAAAAGGCACCAGGGAGTGAATTCGCGGAACGAGAAGAAAACGTGGATCTTACACAGCAGGATAGCTACCAGTCTGATGCGTCATACCGTCGGCATCGAGGTAGCGAACGTCGCCGTGACGCTCTTGTATATGACCTACGCAAACCCTGTCAGCACACATACGACGCATATAGACCCGAAGAACTGGCGTACTTCATCCGCGTTCAAGACAGCGCCAGAACCTGCGCCGCAATCGGCGGTAGTGTCAATGATATGAACAGCACGGCACGCTCCGTTAGGCTGCGCTTACTTCTCTCGAAGGGCTTCGACCCGGCTGTGTGCACAGCCTAGAAGCGCGCACAGTGCCACGAAGAACCCGCGCTGGCCTGTATGTGATGGTCTTATCGAGGTCAGCGCATGTTCAAACGTTCAACATTGATCCAGAGTTCCTCATAGCTACGTGGTATCAATGACTTTGCATGGAAGATCAAACCGTTTGCACGCAAAGTGCTCACAGTCCCTGAAACCACAGTCGAGCTTCCAAGCTTCCGATCCGAAGAATGAGAACGCAGCATGCAGAGAACCACCCAAAAAGAGAAAGCAGCCGAAGCCGTCGGTAATGCCCGCGTAGCTGTCGAAAAGTAGATACATCCACTTGAGACCAAGCGTAGTTCGCAAGAGAAAAGGCGCGTGACGATTCCGTCCAGAAATAGAAAGTTCTCTGAACCGGATTGAGCACGTGTGACGACAAAGACTTGGACGGAGCAGATTAGTCTCGTCCTCAGCCATTCTGGTACGCCCGGAAGGCTCCGTGTGGAATCGTCCGAGCGCTGCTGATGCGGATGGTTTACGAGACGAGGAGCAGATAGCATTACGGAACTCCCATTTCCCAAGCATATCAACGGCTGATCATCACCTTAGAGCGTTAATTCCTGACGATCATACTGCTTCCATCAGCAAAACCGCCAGCTCTTGGGGAGCGTCTTGAGCGTCTTGGATAACATGCTCAAGACGCCCAAGACCCCAAGACATCCGGTGTTAGCCAAGCTATGTCGTTTGTCTTGGGAAGACGCCTGGTCTTGGCCAAGACTCTCAAGACAGTCAACCAAGACAAGCTCAATGCGGCATGCTTATGGGTAAGACGGACATATTGGCTCAATCACACTCATATAAAACAGCTACAAATTGTATTTGTATACTTCTACTAAGACTGTGTACGTGTACTACCTGCTTAACTTGACAATGACTACAATGAAGGCAGATTGCATGTGGCTTAACACAGGTGTACGAAGTTTCAAGGCTGGCATGAGATCTTCAAGTGTCAGTGAGAGTAGCGGCCAGTGGGCGGAGTACGAATGAGAACGTACCTCATCCGACCCAACGCACGAGCTCCTCCACCTTCACGACCTTCGCATTTTGCAGGGTTCTTGGTGTTTCATATACGTGGACAGAAGGCCACAGGGTGCCCACAGCGGTTGTAATTCAGAACGTGCTGCTTGTGCGGGCACGCAATGGTCTGTCCGCTCCACCAATCAGAGGGCAGCGCCCAGCGGCCTTCTGCCCATGCTCACCGTCGCCATCGCCCGCTTTCACAGGCTAATCATACTGGGCTGCCTGCAACCTACCAAAGGG